CCCTAAAACTGGCGTTCCTGATCGGGCTTTTGATGGAAGGGAAAGCCACAACCACACGGGGGAGGAGCTGAATTGAAGTCAGAGAGAGAGAGAGGAGCAAATCCCGGCTGTGCCTTCTCCCGGCTGTTCTCTGGAAGCCGCCGCTCGCTCTCTCCCCGCTCCCCTCCTGCAGCGCTCCTCCCGCAGCCCCGCCAGGACCCCCGCGTGTGCCGGGAGCGATTGGTTCCCGCCGCCCCCCTCTCTCACACACTCACTCCGAGAGGACTTATTCCAACTTTTGCACTCGCACACGGCTGATCCCTTCCTCTCCCGCGCTTCCCAGCAGCTCAAACCTCTAAAACCTTCTAATGTATTAAATAACACTGCTCAGGAGCTGGATGCAAATGTGAAAAGTGAAGGAGCAGTTCATATATGTGTGCATACAATTCTTCTAGGGGAAATATTTTAATCTGTACAATGGAGTGGTCCCAAATGTCTGAGAAGGCTCTGAGATGCTCTCTTCTCCCTTTCTCAGTGACTGATGCAAGTGCACGGGAGGTGCTGGGCATAGCATAGCCCCTGTGCTTGATTTCACAGCATGGGTGTGGGTGGAAGTTATATTTCAACCTCTCCCTATCCTCCTCTGCCTTTGCTTCACTGTGCCATCACTTAAAGCAGCTGCTGATGTTTGGATAAATCACTGGGCACGGCCAAGATGTGCTCACATAAGTGCTGATGGGGACAAGGACACATTTTGGAAATAAAATGACAGCAAAAGGAAAAGAGAGGACTTTCCCCCAAGTGGTTTAGAGTAGAGAAAACATTTCTGCTCTAGCTGCCCATGAAGTATCAGGAGTTCCTCTCTCAAGAGCTGTGCTCTCCCTATCATTAGATCTCTTCTCCAGAGTGCTGTCATACGTGATGGCCAAAGCAGATCACCAAACCCTGAAGTGCCAGCCTGTGGGAGCTGCTGAGCAGTCGCTACATGCTGAGCCATGGGACAGGGTCTGAGCTTTTATGGACACATGCAAGTGACGTCACTCTTAAAGACTGGAGAGAATCAAAGGCTCTTCCACTAGAATTCTAGTCAGTCTCAATTTGCCTGCTCTCACTCGTTCCCATTTGATTTTCAGAAGAGTTTACTTCTTAATTAACGTTTTTAATGTTTCCTTCCTGACATGGAAGACTTTATTGTATTTTTTTGGCAGGGCATTTCAGAAGGAGATTTACAGATTTGTTCCACATTCTTCTAGAGATTTCACTCCGATGCTCACTGGTGACGCGTCTTGGGATATTAGCACAAGATCACAAAGGGAGACTTAGAGTAATTGAGGCTGAGCAAAACTTCATGCTGCTTACAATAATGATGGATTGTCTGCATTGTAACCACCAGACCTCAGCCAAATATCCTGTAAACCAATTAGTGGCATACCTGTTTCCATATCTCCCAGTTAAACGTGCTGTTACTGCCTGTCCATAATAATAATTAACACTGTGTACTTAACAGCTCCTTTTCTTCACTAAGCCTAAAGCTCTTCACAAAGGCCAGTGAGTTTTACTCTTGTTGTACTAGCGGGGGAAACTGAGTCATAGTGTGATTATCCATCCTACCCTGGTCTTCCACACATTGCGTTGGCCAGACAGATTGATGCAAATGGACACACTAAAGAGTGACACCTTCTTAGGAAGTCTCTTAAAGAGGCTTTAATTCAGAGGGATGAAATTCAAAGGAATATGTGGGTGAGAGAGAAAAAGAACTTAGAAGGACAAAATGTTTAAGTGATCTGAGGAACTTTCTCTTGGAATTATCTTTCCTTGTAATAGAGGTTTGCATGCCAAGGAGTGGGCAAGGCTGATGAAGGAAGCCATCTAACTGTCTCATTTAGGCCAACAACTATATCTGGATTATGATAAGGGACTGGCAAGTATTAGGAATTAAGATGGTAGAAAGCACCTCATACGCTGAGTATACTGCACCTCCAGAGCTGTTCAGCAGCTACACATAAGAGTCAGTCATGGAGAGAAAATACTGGGTCTCACCTAAGGACCCCTCCTTTGCTGTGCATGGATATAAGAGATACACGGTATGACCCCTTTCCTGCTCCCTTTTTTCAGGAATCATCAGTTTAGGAGATTCCAGCAGTAGCAATTACACCTGATCCCTTAAGTTTAATAGCTACAGATGGACCTGCCTTCTCTAAATTTGTCTAATCCTTATTTATGCTCTCAGTCTCCAAAGCATGCTGTGGTCACCAGTTTTACAATCTGATTGCGTTCACCAGCTTTACAATTTGATTGTGTGCACTTTGGAATACTGATGGTACGCACTTATCTAAGAGAGACACTTTGAATCACCATAATCTAATCTTGTTGCCAGCCATCTTTCTGTCTCAGCTGATGTGATGATTGAGTCATCAGAGAAATGAAGCCAGAGTTTTTGGCATGCAAGAACATTCCCGTCACTTGATGTAAGGGATGACTTTCTGAGCTGGGAGATACGGTAAGCCCCATGTTGCCATTAGAGGGGGCTGAATTCTTATAAGCAGCCAAGGGAAGCACTGGTGCATAGCAAGATGACTCCATGGTCATGTCTACAAGAAAGGAAAGGACGCACACACATGAAAGGCTTTGGGAGGATTCTCACTTTTGGAGTCAGTAAGCACGGACAGGAGCCTAATGCAAAGAGTAGATACCAGTTCTGGGGAGCTGCTGTAGTGGAGCAAACATATTTCTTGGGACTTTTATAGCCTTGGGTAGAGATGCAGGAACAGAAGGAAACGCAACTGAGAACACAAATCTTCACTTGGGATTGGGCAGACTCAGACAGGTGGAAATACAGGCTTTGCCAAGGTCATAAATCCTTACAATAATGACTGCAGTAATCTGTCATCTGCAGGAATCCTTTCCTATTCTCACAGTCAGATCCTGCTGGTAGAAATGTAGCCCCAAGACACTTTGTGTTTCCACAGGATTCCTGTCTTCTGAAAGATGCTAGATGACAGACCTCTGCATGCCAGAAGCACCTCAATGACTGCAAGCATTGCCTGAACTCCCATTAAGCAGTAAGGGAGAAAGAGGAATGAAAGAAAACTGTGTGAGCTCATCTAGCTGAGTTTTCAGTATAGGGCATAACATGACTGTCTGTCTGCTCTCAAGTGTCTTTTAGGTTAAGCAGTAAAATCTGAATGTAGAAAATATTTGCACAATCAGGATTTTGTGAATCCACACTCATTTTAAATCATCAGTTTTCCCCATAAAGATCGTGTAATGAAGGGAGCCTAGAAGGAACACTGCTCCATTGATTCCTATCAAGCCACGGTGAGTGATGAACAGTCATTACACATAATTCATCCAAAAGAAATCTGCATTTCAAAAAAAATACATTACAAATTTTGTACCTAAATGGATTGCTTTGTAGCAACATTTACATCATTGGTACATAGGTATTATCAGAATTCAGTCCTGGGACTTCACATAGGGGCAATGCATTTGGCACAGAAAAACTATTAAAAAAAAATAATCTGTAACTGAAATAACATAAAATCTAAATCTTCTTGCAACTGAATTTCATTTACCGCACTCCAATTATATTTGGAAAGGTGACTGCACTATTTATTTTTAACACTAATAATTCCTGCAAATTAATTAACATGAAAGCTCTCCTTTGTTATTCCAGACAATGAAGCCCCAAACCAGTGCCATCCTAAAATTAGGCTGCTGCAGCTTTTAACAGGGGCTCCCATTCATCTGCTAATGTGATGCAATTTAGCTTTAGTTGCCATAAATATTAACAGCAAGGGCTTTTTGTTCTTTTACTCCCTCTTGCTGCAGCCTGTTGCAAAGACTGAGGTTTAAAGTAATCTCAAAAAGTGCAAGATTTTGCTTCTGTATAATTTAAAGATACATTTTGCTTTACTACATCCTCAGGTGGAAATTTCAGGTGGTAAATTATCTGGCAAGAAGAGCTGGGTGGCAAGCAGAACTGGTCAGTGTCATTGCCTCTCTGTCCAGGAAGGTACACGGCACCCATACCCAGTGCTAGGTTCCCCTTAGGCACTGGTTTTACTCAAATATCTATTGATGTTTATTACCCAGTAGCTCTCTTTGGGGATAATAATAGTTGTTTGGATCTCTGGAAAGTCTCTCATGTTGGCTCTGCTGATTCATTTCTACTCCAGAATCCAAAAGGATCATTCCTTCCCACACAGTCAGCAAAGCTCATGCTGCAGACTCACTTTTTGCTCTTTGCATCCAGACCTCTTTCCTGAACTTCCAGCTGCAGAGACTTCCTGAGCCAGTTTTGCACAATGATTTCAGTGATAGACCAAGGATGAATATGTCATCGGAGGAAGGGAGCATGTGATTTGCTCCAAAACAAGCTTCTACAACCCATCAGGTGCTGAAGCAATAACTCACATGCCTATACTACTATATTCACACTGAAGCTGAATCCAGCCCTCTTAGAAACTACCCTGCTTATACGTCCTGAGATTTAATCCCACCCTGTAAAATTTCCTCTTAGTAACACGTGCTTCCCTGTGCTGGCCTTGCATTTCAGTCATTCAGTGATCATCTCTCCTTGTGATTTGGAGACATCAACCCATTCCCATGTCGTGCTTGTGAGTGCTGTTCCAATGTCAGGTATTACAATGAGATTTATGAGCCAAAACCGCACCACTGATGACAGGCCACAGAAGACAGTTGATAAGGAAATCTGCTCAAAATTCCCAGCTG